TGGCACTTGTGTAAAACATCTCGCCTTAAGCAACCTAAACCTATTCAGATATTCGTCTATGGGTTCAGTGAAACGTCTCTTCACACTCGCCAGTTCTTTCAGGCTTATCTTGGTTTGCCCCATATAGAATTGTTCATGGAACAATCTTTCCAACTGGGTCCAATGGTGGATCGAATTGGGGGGTAGGGTTGTGAACCAAGTAAAAGCGTTCTTGGTTAAGGAACTTGGGAAGTATTTGATCCTTAGGTTTTCGTTATTCGAAATGTCTCCTGCTTCGATCAAATATCTTGCCACATGTTCGACAGTGGATTCTGTCGTGTCCCCAGAAAACTTAGTAAATTTGGGGACTTTGCTTCTTGGAGGTAAGTCAGTTTGTAACACATATTCTGACAATGGAGATGTAAAGTTGGGCCTTCGAAAGCCCATGTTCATCCCATTCTGATTCATGATCCTTTCGATCATGGTTGCCAGATTATTTTCCAAACCCATGTTTTGGTGTTGGATATGCTGAACCACTTCGTCAGCATTTTGGTTTCTGTTAACTAACCTTACCTCTGGGGCTATTACCCTAGGTTCTTCGACAGGTTGTTCTACAGGCTGTTGGGCCTGATTAATGGTGGTTTCTTCCTCTACAAATATCCCCTGATTTCCTCTTATTTGCGCCCTTTGGGGCTGTCGAATAGGTGGGGGTACTCCAAAGAAGTCAGCCAAACGCGTCATTTGCGCTGTAACTTGCTGATTCGACTGAGTAGTATTTTGTATTAGAGGATTTAGCACTGTACTCAAAGTTTGTGCCAACATTTGCACCATATCATGGTTGCTTTCGTCCATCTGTTGCCTCAAGACTGCTGTCGAGGCATTTGTAAGGCCATGGGCTACTTGGGACGTTCCTCCTAAGAGTTGGGTCCTATTTCTATTCGCCATGCCTACTCCAGAGCCTTGGAGTGGCGAAGTGGCACTCACGAAAGGGTCTGAATATGTGGACGCAGCATTCGTCAGGCTTGCCACTTCAGAAGTTGGCATACCATAGAATGGAATAAATCCTGGGGGAACCACAGGCCTTGGGCCTGTATTTCCCCTTGGTGGGGGGGTTCCCAAAGGCATTCTGGGGCCTGTAAACGAAGTCATTGGCCCCGTGGTTGTGACTGACACTGCTGGTGTCGAACCAACATTCGTCGCTTCACTCACGGTCATATTAACCGTTGCTCCCACACTTGGTGGTGGAATTTCATTATTGTTTGGCGGATTCGCCATCTCTTCCCTTCTTCTGGCAGTATTGCTATCGTTGGTGTATATTCTACCACTCCTCAATAACATACAACTCGAAAAGATGAGATTTTTCAACAATCAACACACAGTCCCACCGGGTGTGCCAATTTGTTTACCTGGGGATTTGGTAAACAACCGCTGATCCTCCAAATGGTTACTTATTTGGTTACTCGCAGGATCGATCAGATTGATCCTATGGACATAGGTTGATTTTGAAGTTTAATTAATGTGGATAAGGCTTTAAGTAAATTGTTTAAAGTAAATTGCATAAAGGAAAGGCTTGGTAAAATAAACAAGGCTTGAATGTAAAGGTTCGACAGGAATCTTAAAGGGGAAAAGCATGTAAAATACTGGAAAAGTAAATGACTTGAATTGATAAAATTGGTGTTTCACACATACATTTCTCAACAATTCGTTCGCTCACACTGGGTACTTGAATCTAAATGAGTGACTATGTATCTATTGTGAACACACGCGAGAAACTACACGTCTACTCCTATTTATACAAAAACATTCCAAGTAACCGTCGGGCAGTTACACTGCTTCGAGATCAAGCCACTTGGCACGTTCTCCATGCTCGACGCTTCAGATCCTTGCACGTTTGCACGTAGTAACTGCTGGAAACCGTTTTCCCTCCAAAGCTTTGAATTTCAAACTGTTCCACTCTGGATCATCGAACACCTTCATCAAGAGACGTCTTCGACGAAAACTCCTTCGACGTCGAAGGCAATGAGCCTTCCTCCTTGGAAGAAATCTTCTAAGTTATTTTGCCATCTTTCGACGGGCACTTCGACAAGCTTAGCCAGTCGAAAGCATCTTTCAGCTTTTAATGGCTGCCATCAATTAAAACAAAGGTGTCGAATTTAGGAGCCAACATTAGGTGATAAGTTGTAAACTAGATTTGTTTAGATTTGAACCAATATTATTATAGTGAATTTCCTTCCTGGCTTGGATGCCCCCAGAGTAGGTGAGTTGCACCGAACTTAGTTAACAATTGATTGCCTCTTTTACCTTCTGCAATTTACTTATGTGTAATTATTGTTTTGGTAAAAGTATTTTCTGTCGGCGGATGATGCCATAACATCTGTCTTGACATTGTGTTTTGGTGTTGGGACACTAGTCTTGACATCTATGTTAAAGTGCCAGAATTTTAGTTTTTAATCAGAAAATATTCCATATTTCACTATTGTTGTTTGAACCAAGCGTAATGAAAATATGACCCCTTGGGATAGTCATTGATGATATGACCATGTTATTTGTAATAATTATTAAACTTCTTACGGAAGCTACGAGCAACATATCCAAATTGTTTGCAAGAAAAAGATTGGACATGTCGCATATCACGATCTTTACCTCTACTTTCAGCGGCATATGCAATTGCCACATGTTTGAAACTGACAGCATCTGAGACATGGTTCCTTGAGTAAGCATGTGTTGTTCCTTCCTGAGAAGTTCACCAACACAAGTATCTAAAGAAAGAATAAGATTCTGATTTAGTAAAGCACCTTTGACAACCTCAAATTTTGGACGAAATTTCATGATAAATTGATTTCGCCCACTTGTGTTATAGGCCTCTTGAACGATCACGAGAGAGGGATTTAAAACATTAACATATATAATAGTAGAGTGTTCTGTCAAGATATTCCAAAAATTAGAATAGTATTCTTGAATAGACAAATCACCTTGTTTGTAGTTGGCTATGTCTAGCTCCAATTGAAAATGTTTTGTCGAATTGTCTTGTTTGTAAATATGCTTCAGATAATTCTACATTTCTTGAGTCGTTGAAAAAGAGCGCAAATTATTGATCATATGAGAATCAATACTGTTAAGAATCCAAATGATAATTTAAGCATCTTTAATTTTCCACACATCTAAAGCAGTTTTCTCTATCAGTGTCTTAGAAACATTTTCTAGGTGACTTCATAATCCCTTTCCTTTAACATACATCTTGAACTAAAATTTTCATACAAACTCACTAATTATTTTATTATTATAATAATAATAACCCACGAACAATATACAATACTAGTGATCAGTAACAACAAACAATTAGAAACAACATAATCCATAAACAACAACAAGATCAAAATCGAATACCACGATTTGGAAGGAGTGGCAAAATTAAATAAGACAATCATGACCCAGAATCACGAACCAAGAACAACCGAGAACCAAAAATCAAAATTTGCAATAGCAAAAACGTGGTCACTATCCAAAATCACGATTAGTGAAAGGATCACAAAACAAACTGAAGTCCTAAATCCAAAAGATAATCACGTGACAATATGCACGAAACGAATTCCACGATGATCGATCATGACCTAAAAACGATGAACAACCAAACTCGAGTATCCCATATGTTATCACAGACAAAGAAAAAACGATAATAACTACACAAAAAAAAAATCATAAACTTAACCAATGAATCTAATGTCATATCATGAAAATTGACTTCATATATTTCTCTATTACATTCCATACTATATATAATAGTGATAAATAATTACATGTAATTCTACGTGATAATGAGTATCTTTCTATTCTAGAAAAGTAAATTATTTACCGTAAAGACAAAAATTAATTACTAATTAACAAAATATTTACAATAAGGATAAATATTAATTGTCTTTTGTGCCATAACTAACTATATAATTTAAAGGTTTGTTCTTCTCATTTGGCTAATGAAGATTTTTTTATATTTTTTGTGTATGACTTAAGATTAATCCAAAGAAGGGGGCAGAAGGAGATAATAAATTGGAAAGAATCCAAATTCCATGGATATTACTTTATCTTTAAGTTTTCTTTTCTGTTTCCTTCCTCCCCAACTTAATAGATAAAAAGTATTCTGAGATAAGATATTATGTTAATATGTGTTATCTAGGAGACAAGATTATTTCACAGGGTCTCCTATTTTATGAAAGTGATTGATGGTGTAGTATACAAAATTGATCTTTCATAGACATAACTCAAACCCCACAACCTCACCTCACCCCAACCACACACACATGTTTGATGCCTATCATTTTTGTCGTTACAACAAGAGTTAAGATTGTACTCAAACGTTTCATCTTTCATAGTCATAGTACATTGTTATTTATTTTGTAATATACAAAATTAGCTACACTCCAACAAAGTACTACCCATGTTAATTATTTGCAGTAGTCTCTATCCACAAGGTTCTTCAATTTTCACCCATATTACATTTATTATACCTTTTAAATTGTTGCTCCAAAATAAGATAACATATTGTTGGGATATCGAATATATAAAGATATTGTTGGGGGATAGAGAACAGAATATTGTTGACATTGTCAAACTAAGATCTATGATCTTATCTTACAACAATTGAGTCTGGACCACACAACAAACAACACTTATTGCATTCATTTGAAGTCTTATTTAATCATGATTTAATCTGACAAATATTTTATGAAATTGAATTTAACTATAATTTTACCCTGATAATTTTGAGGCCCTGTGTGATAAGCCGCCTTACACGCCCTTAAAAACGCCATGTATTCCAACAAGATGGAGGGAGTACAACAAAGCAAAGAGTAGACTTGTTCACATAAAACAGTAACACAAGTTGCATCACTGTTTCTGTACTAATTTGTCATAGCTGAGTTTGAAAAAATATGCAAGATTACACATATTACAGAACATAACAATACTTAAGGTGCTAATTAATTAATTTACATGAAAGTTTATGGAACTTGTTGAGTGAGGCAAATTCAGAATTGGCCCTTGATGATGCAAGTTGGACTGCTATTACCACTGCTATCAGAGAACGAAGAAAGAGTTTTATTATGGAAAACAACAGATGGAGATGATATCATTCCTGTTCCTGAAGTTCCAATGGATTCAACACGGTTTGTTGTGACAGATGATGATGGATTTGAGCTTGTTGAATCACTGATGGAGGTTACTTTGCTTGGCCTTAGAACTTCAGCTAGTGGACCTCCCATTGATAGATCAAGAGATGAAAGGGATGATTTAGCTACTGATGCAGAAGCGTTGTTGTTGTTGTTGCTGGCGTTGTTTACTACTGTGTTTGCATTAGACCAAGTATCAGTGAAACTAAACCCTCTTGGTTTCTCAGTTTGGAGAGTTTGCATTGGAACAGGATTATATAAGAGAGAAAATGGTCTTTCTTGTTGAGAAAGTTCTAAACTATTGTATTGTGGAAATGAATTCAGATAGTGAGACTCAATGTTATTATTGAGATGCGAACTTTCATTGGTCATTCCAAGCATCAGAGAGTTCCATCCTGAGTTAGAAGCACCAAGAGATATTGGATCTCCATTCGGCATCCACTCGAAGCCCCTTTCATCCATCCAACTCACCAAATCAATAACAGAATAGAAACCAGTACATAACAGAAGTTAACAAAGCATTTCTATGTAAAGTGTAATTTCATAGAGGAAAAAAACATAGATATATAAATTTTACCTTGGTTGCTTATTTGAAGGGTCAAAACTGGGAGCAAATTTGACACCAAAGATGCTATTATCGAAGGAAATTGGTGATTGGAGATAAGGATGAAAAGCACTGGAAGCAAGAAATTGTGATGAAGTTCCACCATATTTTCTTGTAGTTGGAATAGGGATCCTCTTGATTTGATGATGGCTAATGTCATTGGCGTGAAGTTCCACAGGCTTTCTTGAACGCTGACTACCTCTATGCATATGTCGCTCACAATACTTGTTATTTGGAGCAACATATCTAGAACATCTCCATTTCTTACCATCTGTTCTTCTGCACCTACCTGCTTCTGCCTCTGGATCAGTACTACTGTTCCTACTTGAAGACAACCTCGTATTGAAACCACCATCCACTACAAGAATGCAAATTTCAAGAAACAGTAAGAGAAAGCAACCCATCATGAAAATGTTCACACATTGATTGAATGACAAAAGGTAAAATAGCACAAAGATAGCAAAAAAAGTGGTAAAAATACAAACTTTTGACTAGAAATGGGGGCATGTTTTCTTCTCAGTTTATGCACCAAATGTAAAATACAGAAAGCCATAACCAAGTGAAGGAAAAAGGGTCATACACATACTCATAGATGAAGAAGGAATGGATGAGAGCAGATAAGAAGGAACAGGAAGAGAAGCCACCAAGTACTTGTAAATCATAACTTGTATCTCAAGCTCTCTCCATTGAGAGCTTGTGAAAGGGTTAATGTTGTGAAAAGGCTGAAAATTTAAAGATACAAGGCCATTATCAATGGTAGTAGCAGCAAGAGAAGAAGAGTGACTACCAAAAGACATGTTGTGTACTGTGGGACCATAACTATGAGCAGCAGAAGAATCATGATTAAGATGCTGATGCTGCATCATCATCTTCTTATTAGATAATCCTTCAAAACTCTGCATAGACTCAAGAAAACTACTAGTGTTGTTGTTCTTGTTCCTTCTTTTGGTCTGCATAATGAAACTCAACTCTTTTGCTGAAAATAGAAAACAAAGTTTTTATATTGTTATCTAGTTTACTATGCATAATAAAAAGAATCACCCACCAAAATTAACTTTTTCAGGTAAGGAAGATAGTGATATTTATAGAATTTGGGTTGATGTTATACATAATGAAGTTGATAATCATAATAATATAAAAATGAGTTTTGAGGAGTGTGTGTCTTTTTGTGATAATGCAATGTACTATAATTTGTAGTATTGACAGGTGTTGGAATGGAAATAAAGATGTGAGAGTTATGATTGTGTTATGGGTTGCCGTTATTCTCGGCCTTTGATTTTTGTTTCCATGCTTCCAACATTCGCACCATCACTAGAAGACAAACTAGTAGTAAAAGATGACTCACTTTTTTTTCCTTCTCTCATATCATTATTATGGAATCTATAGCTTCATGCTTCTAAACTCAATAAATTATTTATTATATATAATTAGATTTCATCAAATGGGGGTGAAGGAGCTTTATAAACATACAATTACTTCTTTAAATTTCGATGTGGGAAAATTTAATGCAGTATTATCAGTCACAATATAGTTATGTTGCACTGCCATTTTCTCTGAGAAGTATCCACGATATATTAACCTCAGAAAAATTCAATTCATTACGCATGACTTTACTTGAAAGTTTCCAAGGAATAAAGCTTGAAAGTGTATTTGATAATTAACAAAGGGATTATCCATCATCTTTCACTTGGATGTTTCTTATCATCTTTATCATTCAATTAAGAACCATCATCTTTCACTTGGATGTTTCCTATCACTTTATCATTCATATGTTTCCTATCAATTTATCGTTCACTTGTTAAAATATTAGAAAAGACAATGCAAGTGCACATGGTATAGCAAAAAAGTGATTTGTTTTGATAGTTAGTAGTTGTCCATTCGTTTGCCTTAGGATAACATGTGCTAATAGCTAGAACGGTAGAACTAACATTTTGAACAGAAAATATAACACATTTAGTTGTAGGAATTATTGAGACAACTTAAACACTATCTTCAAAAATATGTTAGATTCTACTTGTAGCGGTAGAAATGTTTAAGACTAAGTCATGAGATTGATTAGACTTGTACAAATCAAAATAAAATCGCCACCGCGTTTTATTATTTTCAAAGGAATGAGAAAAGAGTGAATAACCCAAAAAGAGGGAGAAAGATTCAAGGTAAGCGGGTTGGTTATGTAAAGGGAATGTATTAGCATCCTAAACATCTACGGTACTCCGCAGGAACCTCTTTGTAAAATCTGTATATTTTGACTATGAAATGTTGTGTGAAAATGGATGGTGGAGGTGAGAAAAGAAATATAATTTTTATGATTTTTGCACCCGCCGCAGTTGCGAACATTTAATGTCTGCGTACCACCTTCCGTGTAATAGGGGATTAGGGTACACGTAGTTCCTCTTTTAAAATTTTAAAACACAAGTGTGTTGGTTAATTTTATGAGATAAAACATCATTGTCATTATCCGTGTGGAAAACATAACTACTACCCACAATCATGAGAAAGGAGAATTTGCATCATCTCAAAGTGGAGGATATGACTTGGATTTTAAAATCAACAATGTCTCACTCAACACTCAAGTGGAAAATATCTCTCTTCACTACATATTGTAGAAGTGCAGTTGTTTGCATCACTACAAGGATTGACAAGAGTCTAATCTTTTGAGAAAGATTTTAAAATAAGAAAGCCAAAGTGGCAAAATAATTTGAAATGAGATTGATTGACTTTTAGTCTTCTCACAAAGAAATGATGTCAAAATATTATTAAGTTGATTGAAGTTTATTCATGAAAATATTTTGAAAATGTATGGACCTAAGTCCAAGTTTATTATGAAAGTGGTTCAAGTTTCAAAACAAGAAGAGTTTTCAAAAGGAGAAGGAAGATTTTTGAAATTAAAGAAGATGGGAGGAGAAGAATGGACTATCCTAAAGCATAAGGTAAAAGCTAGGGATAAGAACCATCTAATCTAACCAACAAGAAGCCACTACTTGACATTATGAGTCAAGATAGAATTCACATTCTTTGGATTTAAACCAAGCAAGCAAAGATACTAGACCTCTTGAGAGAATCACACTTCAAGTGTATTAAGTCTTCACAAAAATTGGGCAGAGTAACGAATGTATACGGGTGAATTCCAGATTACAAACAAAGTATGTAATCACAATAACTCGCACACAAAACAAACAAACAACCAAATGTCTTGAGGTAAACCTCAAGAACTCCAAACAAAATATCAATTAAGGTCACAAGGTCTTCAATATTGGCCAAGGTTTTTAATCCTAAGTCCAAGAAGTCCAATACTCCATAATGCCAACGATAGTAACCAAATAGTCCAAGTATCATTAAAGTTTTTATGGTTTATGTTGATTATTAAGTGTCTTAGAAGGAAAAAAAAAGGCTCAAGTGAGCAAAGATGAAGATAGCATGAAATGTAATGCTTAAAGTAAATGGTGCATAAAGCATAAAAAATAATAAAAAGGGCATAAAGTAACAACAAAGGGTAAAATCAATTATTAGTGATTAGTGGTTAGTTGGATGATCATCTTGAAACTTGTATTTGGAACTCATTAGAGGATTGGTAGAACCAAAGCCTCCACACAACAAGTTGCATTTTCTTTTTGTCAAGTATATCATCCATTTGGAATCCTCAAAAGTACCATTTAATGATCAACGATGTTTAAGTGATCCGCGTTGACCAAAAGTGTTGTAGATCCATTAGAGGATTGGTAGAACCAAAGCCTCCATACAATGAATCTCGAGGTTATTGGATCAAAGATATCAAATTAACATACTTGGGCTTACAAATGTAGGTTTGGACCACGAATGATCATTTATTCGAATCGAGACAAAATTTAGGCTATGTTAAGCAATCGTAAGTGGATTTATGTAGAAGTCGCACCTATTTTGAGGTCGGTCAATAACAAACTACGCACCATTTATTTTGAGACATGATATAAAGATCATGCTCTAATAACACTTAGTGCAATAAGAAAGGGATGAGATGAAGAGGGGTGGGGAAGAATATATAAACCACCTTTGAATTAAAATTTGATCAAACTATTATTAAAATCATTCGTCCATTTTTGTGGAGTTAAACTCAACATCATGGATCCAATGATGTTAATAAAGTTCATGATAAAAAATTCAACCCAAGATTAGTTAGAAAATAATCACAAAATAATATTGTATTTTAATATATACATTAAAAAAGGTTTTAGAAATATTTAAAATAGAAATAACGAATAAAAATATAAAGTATGTTCAAATTAATCAAGAAATAAAAAATAAGACCATAAAAAAATTAGAAATGGACTCAAATATTTTTATAAATTTTTTGGTAATTTTTTAAAGTCAGAAACTATTTTTAAAATTAAAAGAACTGAGTAAAATAAACCAAAAATGATCAAAAATACCAAAGTCAAAAATAAAAAATAAGTGAGGTCACGAATATTTGTCAGAATATCATTGGATCATTTTATATTTTTTTCCAGAATTTAAAAATGCATAAAGTATTTTTAAACATTTAAAACAAATCAAATAACCTGAAATTTTATAAAAAATACCAAAACACAAAATAAAATTGTGAAAAAAAAAATCAGAAAGAGAAAAATCAAAAATATTTTTCATAATTTTTTCATATTTTTTGGACTAAAAATGAATTTTCTATGATTTTTTGAAATTTAAAACAATTAAATATAAAAATCAGAAAAGAAAATAAACATCAAAAAAATATGAGCCATCTGATCAATGTCAAAACGCGTTAGTAAACTGATCAAGTGGACCTGGCGCGCTGTGCATGTTATGGACTTTAGTGGATAATGCATTGAATCATTAATTAAATCAGATTTCAAAAAAATACAAGTGGCGTGCCATCATTTATTGGAAGATGACACGTTGGTCATCTTCAACCTCCAGCCAACGTGAATTGCAGGTCTCTCAAACTATAAAATCAGAAGCTCATACCTATGGCATTTGCTTCGTCTTTTCAAGACAAAGACAACCACACCTTCGCGACAAATTTATATAAATTGTAGCTCAAGCAAATTAGAAGGAAGGTTTTGAAAAGGGATTTGAAATTTCATGGTCAAAACAAGTTTCCAGATGAAAGTAAGTGTTGTGACTAGAACCAGGGCAATGGGAGCATCACAATGATATCAAAGTTTTGAAGAATTGATGAAGGAATCTACCTATTAGAGTTGAGTTGCAGAGCTCTGAAACTGGACTTCTATGGAGAAATCTAAGGAGCGATTCTTGATTGTAATTATATGGTAAGCTTCAGGGAAGATCAAGGAAGGTGAATTGATGAAAAAATTGGATTGAAAAAGGCTTGAAAGCAGATTTCGAAGTAGCGGAATTTTGAGTTATAGAACAAGTTTGGCAGGGAGATTCTGGCTATCCAAGCTTGAGGAAATGAATGGAGGATGACCCTCTATTTATAGGGAATCAAATGGAATGTCCAAGCGTGTGAAATGATGAAGTTTGGAGGGAAACCGTGTGAAGTTGCAAACAAGAAAAGTGTGACTTCCAATTTGATCAAAACTCATCCAGAACGCGTGTTTTGTTGTGCTAATCAATTCTGGAACTTCATTAAACATGTTTAGAGGCATAAACGCGTGAAAAACTTGTGATTAGAAGCCAAAACAAAGATTTCAAATTCTAACTTATGGGGAAACTTCAGTTCCAAGTTACCAAGTTCAATCCAATGGCATTCTCAGCTCAAGGGGTCTTAAGGCATGATTCTTGATGCTTTAGAAAGACGGGGTTACAAGCTTTGCAATTGAAAAAGAATGGAATAAAATGGATGCTTGAGCTGAAATTTGCATTGAGTCAAAGTTGGGGGAAAAAGGTTGACTTTCCATACTTAGAAATATTTCAAGTTTTTCTTCAAAAGTGACCTATAATGTTTTGCATCCAAACATGGCCTTCCTCTTGGAATTTGCTCTTGACCAAAAAAGATGGCATG